CCCCGCCGAGGTCGCGCCGGCTCTCGCCGCTCCCCACGCCGCAGCGCTCGGCCGCAGGCGAGGTGCCCGACCCGCGAGCCTGCGCGTCGTGCTTGTCGACGGGTGCCTCCGCCCCAGCCTGCCGCGCGTGCATGACTAGGAGGCGCTGCGTCTGGACCACTGCGTGCAGGGCGTGCAGCTGCTGGGAGAAGAGCAGCTGGTGCGAGGCCATCGTGCTGCGCAGCTCCTGCGCCCGCTCCGCGCCCAGCGCGCGCTCCGTCAGCGCCAGGCACGGCGCGGCGTCGCTGTGGGGAGCTGGCATGGGGGCGGTGCGGGGGCCCTCGGCCCGTGGGCCGGGCTGCCGGCCGTCCTCCAGGCCTTTGTGGGAGGGGGCCTTCCCGGACTGGGGCCGGAATGTGGTGTTCGTGGCCAGAGAGGAATGCGGCAGCGATGAGGGAGCGAAGGCGGGGAACGCCTTCCTGGCATCCTGGTTAGGGGAGGCGCCGAGGGTACGCGTCTGCGGGGGGGAGAGGGGTGTGCAGGTTGTGTGTGTGTGTGAGGTGGGGGGGTCACCTCGAACCACAGCTCGCCCGAAGTGAGGCACTCCCGGGCTCGCGACCCCGTACCTGGTTGAATACATCAGGAAAAGACTGGCCGGAGGAGGACTCGGGAGGTCGCCGGGATGCATCCATCCCCGGTAGAGCTCCACCAGGTGGACCCCGGCGTGGTTGGTGCCGGGCTCGCACGGAGCCTCTCGAATGGCCGAGTTCCGTCTCTTCAGCTACAGCGAGCCACAGGGGCGAGGGCCAGAAGCCAAAGTCATGACCACCGTACGTTGACGTGCCCTATATGATGCTTGCTCAGCCCGGCGAGCCTTCTGGACTTGTATGGTGGGAGAGGCCGGTATCTTCAGTATCTCCGGGGTCGACCCGATCGACCAGATCTGCGGGACGGCGAATCAGGCCGCATGGCACAACAACGAGGCCGCTCGAGGGTTACGACTTGTATCATAATCCATGATTTCCATGATTCCACCGGGAGGGTTCATGAGGGATGCCCCATGCTGCTGGCCTCCGCCGTCCGGGGTGCTCGGCAAGAAGGATCGCGAGATTTTCCTCCCTGGGGCCCCTCGCTGACGATCCCGCGTCGGGAGCCAATTCCCGGAGCCTACGACGTATGGTGTCCTTTCTCCACTCAAGAACACTCTTGTAACTCATTAGGTTGGAATGGTGGAGTCGTCACCCTCAAACGGAAGTCTTTGTCCTTGAGCGCCTTGCTGTTTCAGCGCGGAGGCTTGGTCGCCCGATTCCAGTTCCAAATCCTTTGCTGCGCAGGCGGCCAGCGATCGGCGATGGAAGATCGATGCGATTTCTCGACTTTTGCTATCAGAATGAGTGCGTAAGACATCAAGGCTCTGTCCGCCTCCGGTGCGAATGAAATAGTGCGACGGTCCCGCATTACATGCCTCTTCAGTGGTTGCCCAACACGTTCAAGGACTTTGTTGTTGAAGCGAATAGATTATATATGCGTCAACCTACGCTTGGAGTGCGCCGACCCTATGGATCAGCGCACGCTATCCCTGTCTGCGATATCAAGTTCTCACTTACCCTCGCTTGCTCCAGACCCGTGCATGGTGATGTTGCTGGAGGGGCCCTCTGTATGAGGGCTTGATGGACATCCATACTCACCTCTTTCTCTTATGGGAAGTACATAAGTGCTGGTGTTGCAGTTTGTATGCCAGGTCGCTGGAACTCTGTCTCTGTCGAAGTCCAACGCCGCCCAAGGGCACCCAAGTGAATCACGCTGGACTGGGTTCCCATCTACTGAAAGGCATCCAGTTGTTGTTTGACCTGAAGCGCAATCATTTGCAATTCCAGTAATATGAACGCCTAGCCTGTCGGCTACTTGTTGGGTGGAGCCGCGGGGGGATGCCAGCTCAGCAACCAGGGCGCGGGGCAGGCCAGATGCCGGACCCGAGATGCAGTTCTTTAAGCGTCCCCTGAGGCTCGCACAAGGAAGAATCCCTCAAACTACATTTTGTCGTGACAACCTTGAGCAGATCGGAAGCATGCTGTCCTGCGGCAGGCGCGCGGCTGAGGTCGTTGCCCGAAACCCCACCGTCCGCGGGCTGGCCTCTCTTCCCGCAGAGCAAGGTGATTGGATGACGAGGGATACAATGGTCGTAGTGCGCATGCGCACCATATATTTCCTCCCTACACCGCGGTGTGTCTCTTGCACCCCCCAGCCTGATCACCACAAGCCCACCCCCCCAACCCGTCCGCAGTCCGGGGCTCGAGCGAGATCGCGGAGACGGTGCGCCTGTCCCCCACCGCCCCCCTGCTCCTGCGCCTGTCCCAGCGTCCCTGGGGTGCCACCGCCACCCTCCCCGCCTCCTCCCTTCCCGCTGACGCCCCCGCCACGGTGGCCGTGCTGCGCGACGCCTGGGCCGCGCACGACCAGACCCCCCGCCCCCTGGCCGAGCTCATCCACCCGCTCAGCCCCTGCACGGCCGCCGTGGCCGCGTCCGCGGCCGACTGGCACTCGCGTGTGCTGGTGGACGTGTACGAGCGCCCCGCCGCCGGCGGCGACCACGCGCTCAAGACGGTGGCGGGCGACCTGTTCCACCTGCTGCGCAGCGCGGGCATCCGCCCCCTGCACGTCCCCGACGTCCCCGCCGTGGCCGCGCAGGCTGCGCGCCTGAACTGCCTGGCCTCGGGGGCGCGAGGCGTGCGCCAGTCCACCAACGAGGTGCTCATGGTGGCGCCCACCGCCTTTGGCTTCAACGAGCAGGCCGCGCAGGACAACACCTTCATGCACACTGGGGCAGGCGCCGCCTCAGACGCAGGTGGGCTGTGCGTGCCACGTGCTCTGGCGTGGTACAGGGGTGCCCTCTCGCTGTTTGCACATCCTCCCCCGCAGCCCCCACTCCGGCCTCTCGATGACCCCCGAAACTGGATCTCCCGCCCTCCTCACCTCG